AAATATGTATATGTTTTCATTTTTGTTATACATGTTTTTATTTTTGTTATATTATAATAGGATGACCCAAGTTTTGATAATAAGCCTTCTGTTAGTTTATTTAATTCCTTTCATGATGAGACCATCCAATACTCTGATAGTAAGCTGTATTTTGATTTCCTTCAAAATGATAATCTCTTGGCACAAGAGAATGAGGATCTTCTGGAAAAATATTCACTCATTATAATATGACAACATCTCTTTGTGACAAGCTCGAAATTTCTTGATTCAAGAACAAAATTGTCTAACTATGATGGGAGATTAACTTGACAATAGAATAATTTTCTTGTTTCAAACTTATTAATCCTTTCTTCGACTAATACGTACTGTGATAATAAAGAAAATTCATTCAAATCAAGAATTTCTTTTATGAATGAGTCAAGAAAGTTCTGTAGAAAAATCAAACAAATATTTGGTTGGACCTATTCAAGAGCGCCATGATGTTCCGCATTGAATCAAGAAATCGTTTTCATCTGTGTCCTCAGTTCTGAATATGAACTCATAATTATGTCTTCCATTGTTAACTCAATTGTGTTGCCGTACCACTCGCCCTGCCGGACTTGTTGCTCGGCAACACACTTTCGTGAACAATGAAGCGACAGAATTATCCCGAATATTCAGAACATCGTGATATCACGGGACGGTGTGGCCGAGTTTGCGTACGTCACTCCTTTATTGTGGGGTTTGACTCGTGCATTCTACTGGACTGTGAGGACATTCACTATTGTGGGGACATGAACGCGTCACCACACCATTTTTTGCAAATAATGCCCTTGTAATATTTTTTTTCAGCGATATTCACACTGTGAGAATGCGTTATTCAATTCTCTACCGAAAATTATGCCTGAAAAATTTTTAATCTCCATTATAATGAATATATTGTTGGAAATAACGTGTCTCCATGATATTGGTAAAAAGTACACGAATATGTTGCTATAGAAATACATAATATATTGTGAGGTCATGATATTTCTCTGAATAGTGGCTCCCTCTACAATAACATTCAATTTCGATTGCATGTTCCAGGTTTTTGCTAGTAAGAGTGTATAGAGTATTTATTTTTCGACGGTCATTTACTGTCAGGACAGTTTGAATCGCATTGATAAGAGGCACTGCGAGCACTGAGGAAGGACATCTATCAATGGATTATTCTCGTCAGAGAAATCCTCGGAGAAATCGAAAGTTACGATGCCCTACTGAAGAAGAAATTCCTGTTAACCAAAATACAGGGTATTGACTTTTTTCTATGAAAAAAATGACGTTAAAATACAGAGGCTATATGCTATGAACTAAAAGCCACGTATAACAAACAAAAAACCGCCGAGCATCAGCACAAAAATGAAGAATATTGTTCCAAAAAATGAAAATTAAACGAATTCCTGATGTTTTCATTCAATCTTTTATACATAAATTCAAAATTTACCTATAGGTACGGAAGGTGAAAGTTTAAAATTGTTTCTTCGTTCGTGAAGAATGTAATGCCAGCAACAAACTCATTTTTTTATAATCGAAAAAAAAATTATCGATATTACGCAAATTATTTTATCTCAATAGTAGGGGTCGCAGTACTGCATAAGAGTCTGCCATAAGAATATCCTTAGAAGTAATATGGTAATAAGCTTGGACTAACATTTTTAAAGAATACAATAGAAATAAAGTTGATTTTATGACCCTTTCCCTTTATGGCATTTCTTTACCCTGAAAGTCCAGACTGACCAAAATCCTATCAATTAATTCTTGAAGTTATAATAATTATCTTTCAATTATTGTTCTTTAAGAATATGAAAATATTTATTTTTATCTTTGTCCTTTTTATTCTTTTTTTTTTCGTTTGTTAAAATGAATTCAAATTATTTCTCAGCATAGATTTTATTTTCTATTTTTTGGCGTATTTAGAGCTGTGAGTTATTGCAGCACATATATTTTTTCGAGATCAAGAAATCTCGAAATAATTTTTCGATCTCGAAAAATCTCGAAGTGTTTTTCTCGATCACGTATCGAAAAAAAAAATTAGTCTCATCTCGATCTCGTCTCGAAATCGAGACGAGACGAGACGAGGAATCTCGAATTTCGAGAGTCTCTTGAAATCCTAGTACTCACGAGAAATTGTGAATCAAACAATAAGTAGATATTCGACCTCACAATATATTGAGCACCCACTGAACTACCAAGATTCTCAGTGTATTAAGCTGATGACCCCATGAAAAATTGATCACTAGCTATGTTTAAGAGTCCCCACTATACAGTACCAGGAGTCTCAGCGTGTATATTATGTCAATATTATGCGCGGTAATTTTTTTTTTTTTAATCAATTCACGCCATACTTAATTGTTTGTCTTCATTGAGCCAACGAAAAAAACAAAAAAAATATTTTTTTCCCATAAACATGTGTCCTAGAATTCATCCCCTCCAAGCTATAAAAACTGTAGACAACCCTCATTCACCCCTTTGAATCAGAGTTTATTTTTTGAGAAAGAAATAAATAGAGTATCCGAAAGTTCAAGGGCCTGTCAACATTTGATGGGTAATTGTAGCTCTCGTTGTAGCCACAATTAAAAATTTACGATTTTTTTTTGCTACTTGTGATGTCTCTAATTCGGAGGTGGTGAATTTTGGGACACATGATTATGAAAAATAAAAAGTCTTATTTTGACGTCAAGCATACGCCCTTAAAATATTTGTAATTATTGAATTTGATAACACCATGTATAGTGGGGACTCATAAACAAGCTACTTTTTATTTTATTTATTGTGGGTCACATACCTACTTATTTGATTCGCTATTCATTGTGAGAACATTGTATTCTGGAGGTTATTGGCTTATTTTTTTTCATACACAATGATAATTTTCGTAATCTAGTGGGGACTCATTCACACAGCTATTGTTCAATTTATTTTGTGTATTCAATTCACAATTTATAGTGAGTACAGTGTATACAAGTACGATTGACCGTTTATAAAAAATACTGTCCCTACAACTTGAATCGCGTGTTCATGATATTTCTATGTAGTGTATAGAAAAATGGCTTATACAGGGTGGGCCACCAGTAACGCCTCGGCCTCTAGAAGGCTAACCACTTATCTTCTTGGAATTCTTCCTCTCTAGGACGTTGCATGTCAACATAGGCTACCATTCAAAATTATTTCGAAACATACAGGGTGTCCCCAAAAACCATAAATCACTGAAGTTAAACTTTTTTCTATCGAACACCCTATATATTATTTCATTTTGAGATTCTCCCTGATGAGCTGATTTCAACGACCCATCATACTTGGGGTCTAGCAGTTATAATTACTGAAATATAGAGTGTGAAAAATCGAGATTTTCCAAGTTCAAGAATTTTTTGTGTCGAAACTATTCATAATTGGTCAAAACGGCTTACATGTCCCTATCTCAACTTTTGATTAACTATCTACTGATATTTAATTGGGACATATACCGGGTGATCAAGATTCTGAATTCTGCACCACCCTGTATTTGTTTCAATTAAATGTCAGTAGATAGTTGATCAAAAGTTGAGATAGGGACATGTGAGCCGTTTTGACCAATTATGAATGGTTTAGAAATAAAAAATTCTTGAACTTGGAAAATCTCTATTTTTCACACCCTATATCTCAGTAATTATAACTGCTAGACCCCAAGTATGATGGATTTTTGAAATCAGCTCACCAGGGAGAATCTCTTGGTTCCCAACTTCGAAGTAGGTAAGGTAACGATATACAAACAAACAAATTGATAGATACAAGAATCAATATTTTTTCACAAGAAAATTATAAAAGAAGTTGAAGAAATTGAAATATTGATTCGAAAATATCAACAAGCAATAATTATTGAGAATTTCAAAATAAATTCTCATCCAGAGTGACTCTCAGTGAATAAATATAATTTTTCTGCAACCGACACAAAAGTCGCCCATTTTGATACCAAAATTAGCTCTTAAATTGACTTTTCTATTACTGACACAAAAATAGGTATGTTGCTATTCAACATATTTAGTTCCTAGGAGCTAAAGTTGAACATTAGTTCCCAGGAGCTGAAGTTGAACTTTAGCTCCTAGGAACTGAAACGGATGTACCGGACGTCATCAAGAATAAACAACATTGTTACGGTTGGTTATTTGGGTTGAGACGCATACCTGCTTTGTTTCCGATTTCGGCAGATTTGGCATTTCATACCCATGCTGGAGGTATAAATACACCTTATTATTGTTGAGTATTGGAATTATAAACATCTCAGTTGAGTATTTTTGTTTTGATCAGGGATGCCTTCAAGATTCAAATACTTGCTTGATCTGTATTTCTTCGTTATTCTCGGGATGGATAAGTTGTTTTTGAGTAATCACGGCAAGAAATAGTTTTTTTGTCTCAAACAACGATATTGTTTGCCCTCATCATCAAGTCAAACACAGTGTAGCATGGAGAGGAATAAATAATCGCTATTATTATTGTCGATAAAAAACCTAACATTTTCCACGTCTTGTTCCTATAGCTGGCACTAGCGCGGTATTTGCCATTAGAGCATCTGGTCCATTCACTCATGTGGATGTATTCATATGGAAACTACAATTCGATCATCCTTGATAATTGAATAAACCTGCTATCAATGCAGGTAGAATAGTCTCACCACATGGATTATTTGTCAATATTTGTTGCATTGCATACATATGGCACGGCATTGTTGGTTAATTCATATATTTATTATTTGAGTTAATTGTTTCGGTTGCAGAAAAAATAGCATGTTTCATTCGGATCAAAAGTGACTTTGTTCGACTCGCAAATTTTGCTATCGCTCGGCTTCGCTAAACGCTCCGCCTCGCAGATACAAATTTCGCTTGTCAAACAAAGTGTCACTTTTTATCCTAATAAAACAATCTACTATTCTTGAAATTCATATGTGTGGGAGAATAGGAGGTTGGTGGATTGTTTCACAGTCAATATATATAAAACTAGTTAATACTCACTATTGTAGAAACACTACTGGACACTTGTTGAAGAAAGGTGTAGTTGAAACGTCTCAATTCGGTAATGAGGACTTTGGAATCGTTGGCGGGTATCGATAATACCGACCCAGTTAGGAATGCTATCTCTTTCGCGTTTCTATTCAACGACCAGAGACTGAGAGAAGATCCACTATCCATTATAGCTGCCCTGAACAAACCTGTTCAAACATCATGCAGAGTTATTTTACAGCCATAAAATGATCATGTTCAGATCAAAGATCAGTCAATCAATCAAAATATATATTTTTGTAGACGAACCCAAGTGGAATGACTTTTATATCGCTTGGAGCGCACGAAAGGGGATTCTCATAATATCCGATGAACATCGTGCCTACCTAGGAAGGATAGGAGGAGGAGGTAGGTATTGGATTTTTTATGAACTTGCGGGAATTATGAGTTCTTGTAAATTATAATATAATAAGATCATACAATGATATTGGAATGATAATATAATAATAAAAAAACTGGTGTGTAAAGGATCACACTTCGGAAGTTATAACTTCTATGAACGCGGTCAGTAATTCCAATATTTTTTTAACATCACGGGGTAAATCTTTGGATAACATCCTTCTTTGGATGACATTCTTCTTTGGATATTTTGCTTCTTTGATTTCCTCACGCGGTGACCCAAGATGACGCTAGATTCCCCACCAGCCGCCGTCGATGGTACGGTGAACATGACGCGAGTTTGCCGTCTCACTCCCATTTCAGAAAGTCCCTAACGATTCTATAGAAGTTATCATTTCAATAAATCGACTTCATTCATAAAAATCGAGAATGTTTTTTCGTGAAATGATGGAGAAGCAGCAGGGGTTGCTTTACAACTCAACCTTCACATTGCCAATCTCATGAATAAAAGTTGTCACGAACCATTATGATATAATATATATCTAAGCGTGCATATAGCGCAAATTGAACTTACTTGTCTTCAACTACATTGTCACATACAGATGCAGGAAGGAAGGAGATAGTGATAAACATAACTTGAAAACGCTGCAACCGATTTCAATTTTTTTTCCAGCGATAAAAAGGCAAATCTGTGATGAAAAATACAGGGTGAACCATTTGGAAATTTCTAATGAACGTCGTCTGAATCTTACAATATTGAGAATGTAAATTTCAGCGCCCTGTAAAGGATGAACTCGCAAAATTACTGGATTGGTGTACGTGAGACCTTGCTACTACTGTATGCCAAAAATCTTCTCAAAATTTTAATAAATGAATATACCATACCCAATTCAACATGACCCTTTAATAGTAGTAATGGGTTTATTAATTATAACTTGGCAACGCCGCAACCAAATTCAATTTTCTTCACAGCGATGTAGAGCTAAACCTTAGCGGAATAAATTTTGAATAAAAAATACTGGGTATTCTATTTGAAAAAACTCGTCTCCGATTCCTGCCGCTTTTATAAAACACCCTTATTTTTTAAATGGAACTTTTAATAACGGAAGAAATTTGTTTTCAGAAGTTTTTCTCTAGTGATAATGGATTTCGAGATATCGAAGAATTACGCACTAAATGGACACACTGTATAGATAGAGTAATCTCCTGATTTCGAGGTCGAATCTCCCGACTCTTAGATTGCTTGTCTTCCGATTTCTCAAAAAATGAGTTCGCAGTAATTCCTCAGTAGTAGAGGGTTAAAGGTTGAAGCTTAAAATATGAAACAAATGATTATCCATAAGGATTTGGTGGCATGATGCGCATTCGCAAATATAGTAATAATTACAGACATGCGTTATCGTAGACAATGGGGCTAACCAGCTTTTGAATTGAAGGAGTATGTGTTTTGTCGTTTGATATAAGGTCATGACATTTTGTTGTTTCTGTTCACATTCCGCGGACATGTTTAGTTGCAGAGGTTTGATGGATATAATGAATTTTCAGAGTATCTTTCCACAAATTACATCCCTGTCTGAACAACTCGAAAATTTCACTTGATCATTACATATTCAACATGAGATATTAATCTTAGCTCATTTGAAAATGTGGTTATATTGCAGTAGAAGTGAGAATAGAAGAAATACATGTTCAAATGTGGATAATTCTTGATATCCTTTCTCATGCACCATAATCAAAAGGTATAGTATTAATTGATTATTTCTGCATGATATACCACTTTCAAATGACTGGTGAGTGTACCTGCTAAGTGTTACATGCCGATACCATCTGATAATAACCAAGCTGATGACCATACTGATGAATTGTATTGACAAAGAAATACTTACTCTCATTGCAGCATTTTCAATGAATTAAGGCGATGAAATGAACACAAATCTTTCATAGTATACTAAAAGGGAAAACTGGATATCCATAAATGTCATGTCAAAGATTGAAAGGTTAGATGTCACGATGATGTATCTGACATTTGAACTTGCGTATTTGAGCATGCGCAGTACATCACATTATGCATATGGTTAGTCATTTGTCTTCGAAGAAAACGGCTCCCTTCAGTGTTATAACAACAGATTGGGTTTATCCATATTGTTTAATGATAAGTACATAGGGTGTATACAGGGTGAGCCATGAGGAACTGTACATACTCCTACCACGAATAGGAGCCCTTGAGGAGAATACCGAATGTCCATCAAGAAGTGTATTGTACACTTTTCTTCCAATATATAGGGTGAATTATGAGATTTGGCAAGAACATCTTCTGGTCATATAACTTTTCAACAGCTTCTTCGATTCGTCTGATTTTTTCATGGAATATTCCGCTACTACTCATTAATCGACTGACTTATTCAGAATCAGGAAAATCTAGGACCGTTCTTGGCAAATTTCGATAGTAGGTACAGTTCATAGCAAAAACTTCATCCTATATATCGTTTTTGTAAACTGTAACAGGGGATTTTCAAAGGTCACAAACGAATATCAAGAATAAAATACTTCAAATTTTCCTCACTCTTTCACTGCATTTTGAAAAAGAATATAAATTTAATGAAAAAATGAGAATTTGGCTAGAAAATTATTTGTTTATAAATTGAGACCTCCCAACCCATGAATTTCACGAATGAAAGTGAGACTCACATTTTCAATGCTTCAGATCAATGGAAATCAATATATTATTTTATTTTCAGGCCTGGATTCATTTATTAAATTCATTGTGGAGGATGGAAATCACCTTGTAGATCTCTTTCGGATCAGTGGATGAGATATATGTGAAAATGTTGATGGCCATTGCCATGAATAATTTCATGATTTCAATTCTCAGTTCTCTCTATTCGATTTGTGTTATTCAGTTGATTTGGTCACTTATTTTCCGTACTAGAATCATTATTCACCTTCAGTTTACTGAGCTATACTGAGCTTTTGAAAAATAATTGTGAGTAAACCTTCATTTCCTGTTCGACTATCTTGAGTTATTTGAATCGAATACCATTACCATCTAAACAGATACCCCATCCACTGATTTGAAAAAGATCTACAAGGTGATTATTACCCTCCACAAAGAATAAAATGATGAAATCCAGGCCTAGAAATGAAACACAATATTCATCTCCATTGGACTAATGCATTAGAAATGTGAGTCTTTTTTTTATTCGTGGAATTTATGCGTTGCGAAGTAAACATTTTCGAATGAATAAAATTTGTTGCCAAACTTTCGTTTTCGCTTATAATTTATAGTTTTTAGAAAAATTCTGTGAAAGTGTGAGGAGAATTTGGAATATTTTATTTTTGATGCATGTTTGTGTGCTTCGAAAATTTCCTGTCACAGTTTACCAAAACTATATGAAGGATGAACTTTTTGATAAAAACCGAACTATCCTAATTTTTCAAAAACGGCCCTAGATTTTCCCGATTCTGAATAGGTCAGTCGATTGAAGTTCAGTAGTTTTTGACAAATCTCATAATTCATCCTATATATTGGTAAAGAAGAGAAGAAGAGACTTTTTGATGATCATCAGGTATTTCTCTCAATGGCCCCTATTCGTGGTAGGAGTATGTACACTTCCTCATGGCTCACCCTGTATGTGTTTTACCAACCTCTCGACATAGGTGACAGCATATGGTAAGCGACAGCAGCCGCGCCGGAACTCTCTCCGAAAATGGTGACTTTCGCACGGTTCCCCCCGAAGAACCCTATGTTCTTCTGGACCCACTTCAAGGCCAGCACCTGGTCCTTGAAGCCGACGTTCCCGGGACACACCAGGTCCTCGGTGCTGAGGAAGCCGAAGATGCCAAGGCGGTAGTTGAACTGGACGAAAACGACGTTCTCGTCCAGGATGTAGTCCGGGCCGTACGTTTTATAGTTCGAGTCTCCTATTATGAACGCTCCACCGTAGATGTAGACCATCACCGGTAGATTGCCAATTAGCTGGAAAAAATAATCAGATTGGAAATTGAGACAAAATGTCGGGGTCAGATTGTTGTGAGAAAAAGTTACATGATTTCTACCAGACAAAACCTTATAGACGGAGAGATGGCTACATAAAAAAAACGTGTCATCGATAGATGGTTGATTCCTACTCTGGAAAGATCCCTGTGTCTAGCAAAGTCCAAATTGGGCTGTCTGCCAGCGCAGCCCCGTGGCCTTATGCGGAAGGGGACGGTCAAATAGGTCAAATTTCGATATAAGTCTTTTTTTTTAAGAAACATGGATTGTTTTCATGAAAATGTCAGTGAAAGTGCACTCATCAGGCAATGGGTTCTCTTTCGTAAAATGTTTTTGGAACTCACCTATTTTCGTCTGATGAAAAACATGATTTTCACAATGAAAATGTATATTGATATATTTTACTATAAAATGCGAAATTTCACCATATTCTGTTACCCATCGTGGATATTCATTTACAACTATTTGTCCCCCTCTTCCCATCATTGGACACTTCATATACCCACGTTGTACTTCAATTACACATTTTATTTCCTAAAATCAACAAGAATTATGGTTTATTTGTAATTTTTTTCATATTTCAGTGAGGTTCACAATCACAGCTGACGGCCATTTAATTATCAAATCTTAATACAAACCACAAAACTCAAAATACAAATACGAGATGTCAAATGGGTGTCAAATGTCGAAAAAATGTGCGAGAAACTCGAAAAACCAAACTATTGTTCACCTCACTAAATAGGAAAAAAGTCCAAATAAACCATATTTCCTGTTGATTTTCTGGAATAAAATGTGTGAAGTTAAGTACAACGTGAGTATATAAAGTGTCAAGTGATGAAAAAAAACGGACAAGTAAATGTTAATGATTATCTCAGATGGGTTGCAAAAGAAGGTGAAATTTTGCACTTTTTCATAAAATATCTCGATAAATAGCGATTAGTTCGAATTTTCATTGAGAAATTCGTGTTTCTTAGACAAAAATACGTAAGTACCACCAAAATATCTTTTATCTACTCACTGAACCGAAAGCAGGCATTTTCTCTCTCATTTGAGGAAAAAAAGTTGTCAATTTTGACTCCCGCGGGAGAAAAAATGAATTGGCCTCAGCATGCATCGTTTGGTATGTCCATATCCCTATATCCCCATCAAATATTCGAAATCCAAGTAATCAGAGTGTCTTCATCACTATTATGAATCAAGTAACAATAATATCCTTTATCTACAACTATGGAGTGACTCATACATTGCTTACTCGAGTTTCAACATTTAGGCCCGTATTTATAGTCGTTTCCTCAAGAATTCCTCAAGTATTCCTTATCCGAGGATTCCTTGAGGACTCCTTAGTACTTGTCGTTAAATTTGTTTTATAGACCTCCCTTGAGTTATCCTTCTTAAAAGGAGCCGTTACATTCGACAACAGTGTATAATTTTAGTGTTTTGTGACCAAATTTGTTGTTTCATGTCACGTGTTTGTCACAAAATGTAAAATGTCAAATTTTATTATGTTTACTGGTGAGTGTGGACATCGAAAAATATAACTAATAATAATCCAGTATTGAGCTGCAAAGGTTGGTTCAAATTGGGCCTGAAAATATATTACTTCGATCACAGACAACACAATATATCCAAGGATCCGCAAAACGAAAAGAGGGTAGAAGAGTTTATCGATAACGATGTTGGAAGATCACAATACAGATATTAACAACGGATTCTTTCAAGCTGCAATGAAATGATAATATGCCAGGGAGAGGAAAAATCGAGGAAAAATATCCATTTGATCAATACTTCGAATGAATCTGTGATCTTGTGTGGTTGTTCATTGTAAATGTATGTTCATTTTACTGGATTATTTGAGATGTTCCTCTCCCCATTATTTGTAAAATATACCTATTATTTGAAATGAAGCAAAATACTTTTCAACTTAACTTATTGAATCAGCTTCTACTGGAAATCTATATACTCGAATCAGATTCTCTGTACAAACTTCAAGACTTGAATATTCATTTGATTACTACATTCTATTCCATCATTAAATTCATGAAATTCATAAACATAACATAAAAATAAACATAACCTGAAATAAATACTAGAAATTGGATCAAGGAATGCTCAAGGTACCTCTTTACCTTCCTTGGAATTGACATTTCCTTGATGCTTCCTTTGAGCTCATATCACGACTATAAATTGGAAACTGGTCATTAAGGATGCCTTGAGGGACGAGGTCACCTTAAGGAGCGACTATGAATACGAGCCTTAATGACAGACATTATCGTGATGAATCGAGTGATAAGAGTAATGATGACAGTATGATGACGTAATAATCTGACATTCCATCGTCGTGTCAAATTCAACTAGGCAGGTATTCGTTCTACAAGTTCTATCAAAGCACACCACTATACTACTGTTTGTGGAATACACGCAAATTCAAAAGACTCACCTTACATGGTTCTCATAGTTTTCACCTCAATTCTACAAATACACGGAAAAGACTACCATCATGAGTAACCACCATAACCATAAAATAGGACTTGAAACTTGACAGTCGCAGATTGGCTCACACTTATGTGCGTGCTATTCGAATAAATTAGTACAGACCGATCAGAACCTTGATAAATTACGTCTAGAGACAGGGTATTACAATTAATCATCGCGGTGGGGAAATGCTACAGGGGAAGCAAGTTAATGAATAATCTGCAATAGTATGATCCATTTTACAACTAAGAAGTGGAATGGCATATAGTACCTGGTGAGATTGACTGATATGTGATTGCACGACTCCTTTCCTGTTGATTTAGATCCAACATTGTTTACCATATTTTCACAATCGAAATTATTGAAATAAGTTATCAGCTGTTCGATGATTGCAATTTCTGTCAATAAGTTTTCGATGAAATTATTGGGTATTTCAAATCAGATTTAGTGATTTTGCAATATAATAACCTTCATTATTTCCAAAGATATATTTCTGAACTCTCAGAGTTGCTTTGCTATTTGAAAAGTTGTAGATGAAGTATAGTATTCCACTCGCACATAACGACTATTACCCACTCAGATGATTACAGCACTCGCCTTAGGCTCATACTCCAACTTTCATCTTCGTGGGTAATAGCAATCATTATGCGCTCGTTGAATATACTATTATGAATTCCAATTATATTGGTTATACGCTTCTTGATATTCTGAACGTACTTCTCATCAACACTTTCGAATGCAGTTACACATTATACAAATCAATTTATTCATGATGACAGGAGTGTTGAATTGACTTTCGTTCAAATGCCGTCAATTATACTTGGCATACCTTACCTTTGTAACGCATAATGATTTGGATCATTGGATCAAGAGATAGAGCGCCTGAAGCACAGTGTCAAGAATGATGCTTTAACTCTTCCAGGAACAGCAATATGTCAATGAAAAATGACCAATGTGGGCTGGAAACAAATATTCTCAATTTTTTTAGTGTTCTCATGCATTACAGACTCAGTTTCGAACATTCATGAAAAAATATCAGCAAGAAAGATGAATCTGGAAACAGTCCTTATCTCCTTCCACAAACAGCAGTACTGAACAAATTGAACACATCCAATTTGTTCGTATTTGATTTTCACTTGTGCAGCTCAATGCACATCTTCTGGTGTTATACATATATTGGCTGGTGTTTTGCCTCAGGAAGCCTCGTATCTGCAGCCACAAATGGATTATGTTATTTTATTTGAATTCTACGTGAAAGATTGTCTGATCGTCTTTCTTCTCTGGCACATGTATAAGCCATTCGATTACTGATAGTCCGGAATCTTTCATTGTTAATTTTTTATGGCCATGCTGCTTATATACCGGGTGACACAGGGTATCGGGCCACCCCTGTAACTTCTGCTTTCGTCATCGGATTTTTCTGAAATTCGTTACAGTTATATAAGCAATTATTTCGGATTTGAGCACATTACAATCCAATATGGCGGACTTCCGGTATTTCTGGAAATGCCAGCAACTTTGTTTTTTTCAAATGAAACACCCTGTATATCTTTACATATTCAAGTTCAACAGGTCGAAACAAGTGCAATCTTTATTTCAAATGTCATTTTTTCGAAAAAAATTGAATTAAAATTGTTTTTTCATTTCACCTCGTGGATAAATGAGATGTGGTCAGGACTATTCACAATGAGTCACACATAACAGAAGAACATAATTTTGTCTGAAAAATTATTTTTTGTGTCACTTATCCAGGAATCAATTCAGCCACATCAATTTTTGATCAAAAATTATTTTTTTTTCAAATGGAACCCCTATGGGCCACCTACCCGTTTCTCTAGAACATACATTAAGGAACAAAATGAAATATCATTTTCGTTTTTCGGTGCAGTAACAAATTGTATACATTCAAAAATCAACAACTAGTTTATGAATATCCTTGCAGTTAGAATAATTTTTCAACTAGGTAGGCTGTGGAATAAATGACATTTGACATCAAGATTGCACTTGTTTTGACCTGTTGAACTTGAATATGTAAAAATATACAGGGTGTTCCATTTGAAAAAACAAAATTGCTGGCATTTCCAGAAAAACCGGAAGTCCGCCATATTGGATTGTAATGTGATCAAATCCGAAATAGTTGCTTATATAACTGTACCGAATTTCAGAAAAATCCGTTGACGAATGCAGAAGTTACAGGGGTGGCCCGATAGCCTGTGTCACCCGGTATTATGAAAGCGTTGACGTCAAAGTCCTGCTCAAGAAACTGACTAACCCTTATATGTGTGTATCTTGATTCTAAATTATGATTAGGTGATTAGGGTCTAAAGTCACCTTCGCCATTAGTTTCATTTGATTTAAGATATTGGTGGCAGTTGCCACTTTCTTGATGATAGTCTGTTATGCAGTGTAGAGAATAATTTTTTTTTTATTTTTTTTATTTATTTATTTAATTTTCGTATAGAAATACATTCCTAACATTTTGTACAGGTGAGAATTTTCTAAAATTAATA